ATTTCTAATGAAGAGACCAATTTATATGACAGATTTTAATGTAGGCTTTTATACATGTGTAAACATTATTTAATTACCATTATAACTAGCTATCTCACAAATTTTTACTCACTCAGTGTTTTTTTTTATTTTACAGTGGGGTAATTTTGGTGCAGTAGCACAAGATAGCTTGATTTCAAACTTTGAATTGAATAAAAAAATGACAAGTAAGCAGTCAGTAATAAAATAAGAACAAATAAAGAAATTAATAATGATAGCACAAAATTCGGTGCATCTCTAATTATTGGCGACATCAGAAATGGATATTATATAATAGATGCTTTTTGGAAAATTTTTGTAAGAGCCATTTTTGTCTTTACTGTGAATTATGTACATGTATGCCCAAGTAGGGGTCACTCTTGGGTGATTGTTCACAGAATATAGGTGGGAACCTTCCTTCAGGTAACAGATGTTGCTGGAGGGAAGGTGCACACAGTTTTTTGGCCGCTACACTAGGCTGTTTGTCCCACGCTATGCAAGTCGTTGTAAAGGTGAAGGATAGGTGGATATGTTGACTGTTTGTTTGGATTCTTGCCTACATGGAAATGAAGACCAATAACGGTACAATAAATCTACAACAATGAGCATTTTTACATCTAGTGTGGACATTCCAGTTAATAGTAATCCAAGCGTGCGCGTCCATATACAAGCACCGTCCAGCATCCCTCAGCTTTTTTTTTACACGCCACCCCTGCTCTCGACAGACGGCACCCCAGTTGGGAAACACTGTCATAGACTATATAGGGTCAGCATGTGCGCTGAAGGGGAAACAGTGGAACTGAATTCACCGGAACACCGGCATTGTAGGCTACTCTCCCAGGAAACAGTTCTCATGCTCCGTAAAATGCGTTGCACACATCTGAATATTTGGTTTGAACTGTTCTGGAACAGTTTTGTAAATACAACTTAACCACTGATTTCTAGTTGTGTCCTCTTTTGGAAAGCCAAATAAAGTAGTTTCGCTTTCACAATGAAACACACAGCGTCTCCGCAACATGGCGACGGCGGCAACAATACTACAGCGAGAATTAAAGTTATCCCTTCTTTCTTTGTGTATACATTTGGGTGGTGTTATGCAAATCTTCCCACATCGTGATGTATAGGAGGGCGTGGACGAGTTTTAACTTTTATAAAGAATATCTATTTGGGTTTGAGACTTTAGTCTTTGCAACTTTAGGGATCTTATCTATTCATGAACAGCTTGTAACACTTCAAAGAGAAAGGAAAACTTGAAATCGCATCATATGACCCCTTTAATATTACTAATGCAATACAATGTCTTGACACTGGCTAAACAAGATTTCCCAAGACACATGCAGTGCATTATGGATTGATTTTTAAAATTAAATTATTTATAAATAGGATACATTTATATGCTATTTAATGTTACCCATTATATTTGAGTTTTGGAATAAGATGGGCTTAACTTATAAACAAATTTTTACACAACTTGGAAATTCTTAGATAGCGATTAACAGTCTATCATCGTTAGCCAATTTCCCACCATCACACAAATATTCCAGAATGGTTCTAATTGCTTTTTCTTAAGTGCAGCTTAACACAGAACAATTACAAACACTTCTCTCACCATGGATTTCTTGACACTGTAAGCTAACCATGTGCATCTGTGCTGGTGGAACGCTTGTAGTATAGTACAGTAAAAACTGTACATCAACATATTACTCATTTAATATTATGTCAATGAACATACTTTGTATCTAGTCTATGACTTAATTTCTTTTAAGTTCTTTCAGGTTCTTTCAACCTTTTTGTGTTCAAGTTCTTATCCATGCAACCCAAACTGAAAAGGATCAGACAGGGTTAAGACAAATATCTGCTGATAGCGATCAGTGCTGTTGGTGTATTCTTAGAACCCTATTGTATTTGAACTGATCTTCATTCCACCTTTTGACCAGATTCTTACAGGAATAGTTGACCCAAAAATGAAAATTCTGCCATCATTTAGGGCCTACTCACATTCAAGTTGTTCCAAACCTGTATGAGTTTCTTTCTCCTGCTAAACGCACACACACACAAATATTTTTAAGAACTTTGGTAACCAGACAGTTGTTGGTCCCTATTGACCTCCATAGTATTTTCCCCCCATACTATGATAGTAAAATGGGGGCCAGCAACTGTTTTGTTATCCACAATCTTCAAAATATTGTCAATTATATTCAACAGAAGGAAGAAACAAACAGGTTTGGAACAACTTGAGGGTAAGTAAATGATGACAGAATTTAAATTTTTGGATCCCTTTAAGAATCTGGGCATCAGAGACCATAAAACCCAGAGAATATAAACTTGGTGGGGTGGTCTATAAGTCAACAATTTCATTTCAAAATATATATGTGACGAGAGGGGCGGGGCCAAGAGCCATGGG